CTCTTCCAATCTTCCGTAGGTCAAAAAGTCTTCTATAATTTATATTTTTGATGTATTTATACCATGTAGGAACGTGCCTGAATGAAACTATCCTTTCCAAGTCGAAGTGAAAAAAATTGGGCGAGAAAATACACTGCCACGACGCACCGGGTGGCGCACCATGCACCACATTAGTGGGAAAGTTCAGAGGCCATGCGTAGCGGGCGCGGGGCACTAGTGTATTTTTCTCAGAGTAATATTTGTTTTCTCACTTTTTGACATTAAGACTTGGTCCTTGACCCCGAACGTGGTCTCGTCTTAATTTCTTGAGTTTTTACTCAGGTTTCAAAGCTCCAACTTGTTCAAAATGGTTCCAAATTATCTTAATAGCTCAGAATCATTTTCTACAAGGTATAAAACACGTAATAAGTGTAAATCACCATTAATTATGTTCAACCACAAGTAAAATGCAGTGATTAGAGTGCAAACTATGACTAAAATATGGGTTTCTAACCTACCATCAAGACGTTTTCCGTACAAAAAAAGTATGGAGCAATTCATCAATGTACTCAAGTATTTTGGTTACAGGAGTACTTGTATGCTGAAAATGATCTCCAACTGCCTACTCAAAGGATGGAAAGGGACCCCCTCTATTCCCTTTGCTTGGAAATTTTCATGATAAATTACCTATTTTATGAATGTTATATTACCTCTTATACTTGTGAAATTAAAGATTTTGAGCAACTAATTCAAAACTTACAATTATGGATGGAGTAGTCTAGGACCATTTAAAACCCTTAAAAAATATTGTGCAATCAACAAGGGAAAAATGTAGCATTCTCTTTCGCTTTCCTCGAACTTGTAACATGGTTCTTGATACTAGAGCTCAACAAGAGTGGTCTTCGAGTAAGAGAGATTACATATTAGACTCAAAAGGCTACTAAGTGGATCTAGAGAGACATTAGTAGCTCGAAACTGAATTATTTTTGTGTGTGTGTGAGAGAAAAAATACTACAGCAACTCCATGGGTTGAGTTAGAGAGATAGAAGCCTAGAGTGATCGAAACACGAAGAGAGAAATCACTAAATTTTCGCTTTGATACCATGTTAAAGAATTTGAGAATCCAATATGAAACCAAAGGCTTTTCACAGTGGTTGATGGAGCATATAATCAACGGGTTCAACTGAATCCAACAAAATGATACTTCCCCTATTTTAATTTTTTGTCATAGTTTAACTTGTAATAAAGTTTAATAAAGGGAGGAAAACTTTTAAACCATGTGGTCTTAAATATGCAATAATATTTGTATGGTTATAAAGTTTCTTAAACTTGAGGTCTTTAACCATCCATAGTATCCATATGACGATAAATACTTACTTTTAAAAAAAAGGAATATGCCAATTTTTTGGAACAGAATAATAAAAGAAATAGTAGCAAACAAAGTAAAATGGATGGAGGACTAAATTTGACATAATTTTAAAGGTATTATTGATTCAATAGTATGAACTTTAAAGTTACTACCAAAGAATACGACGGATGAGATCGTTTCATCTTTCACTTTAATCAAAGGTTTTAAGTTCGAATGTTGATTCTATTCCGTGTCACGACCCAAAATTTCCACCGTCGTGACCGTGATGGCGCCTAACATTTCACTTGCTAGGTAAGCCAACGTTAAAATAATTTATCAATTTTCAATAGGTCAAATTAAATGATAGAAAGAACTGAAATAACTGTAATGATATAAAGTGAAAATGTTGAAGCCATAACAATCGTAATATTTAATACAATTCTGGACCCGGTGTCACAAGTTATGGGCTACTAGAATAGTACAAATAAGGGTCTGAATAAAATATAAAGTTATCTGAGGGAAAATACATAGCTAATAAAAAGGAAAGGGGACTCTAAGAGTGTTGGACGCTGAGCAGATGTACCTCAAGTCTCCGCAAGCTAGCCAACCCGAGAATACTAATAAACGACCCCATGTACTCTGTGAGTGCCGAGCCTAACCTCGACAAAGTAGTGACGAAGCTAAGGCGGGTCACTTACACTATAACTTGGATGCTGTATAAAATAAAGATTGGAAAGGAAAATATAGAACAAAATAAGGCAGTTAACCGAAGATAATAGCTAAATCCTCGAAGAAAACCAATAACGATCTGAATTACCAATCCATAGAGTTTCATATGAAAAATATCTAAAACCAACATAGCACAAGGAAATAGAAACACATAGGTTGTTGCAGCACGCAAGCCGGTCCTACCATACAACACAATCCTCTCTTATTTCACCGTAATAATATCAACAATCATAAATAAATATATGTTGCGGCGCACAACCCGACCCTACCATATAACAAAATCAGTATCATAATTCACCCTTATTTCACCGTATCAATCTACCCTTATTTACCTATTTCGGCGTGCAATCCAATTCCACCATATCGGTACAAATTCACCCTTATTCCATCATATCAATCCACCCTTATTTCACATATTGCGGCGTGCAACACAATATCAATATCAAATATTCAATGAGTACAATCAAATCAACAACTCAAATCACAAGAACCTCTACGGTTAACGAATATGAAGCTGAATCAGAAAGGAATCCTCGTATCAAATTGAGAATTTACATACGCAATATTATATGGCAAGACAAGTCCGGTAAATAACAATTAAAAGGTGCAAGTATGTCAATTAAGGCAATAACAGCGAGTTATGAAAGCATGGAAAGGTCTAACATTTTTAACAGGAGAATCAATGATTAATAGGTAGCAATTAAAGCATGTGAGGCATTTAAAGCACATAATAGTTAAGGCATGGAAGGAAATAATTAAGGAAAAGCGAAAAATCAGGGAAAACAAGTAATTCAACGCCGTATAAGCACTTGTCACCTCGCATATACGCCGCAACACATGAAATTCACATAACACATAGTTCGAGTGTTCCTAGTTCCTTCAAATCAAGGTTAAACTCAACACTTACCTCACTTCGCAGTCAACTCATAGTTCTACTGGGGTCTTTCCCCTAGAATCTGCCACCAAACCACCCGTATCTAACCATAATTGATATAATAACGTCAAATATTGCTAAAGGAATCAATTACAATGCATGAATTTAGGATTTCCACACTTTTTTCCAAAAAGTCAAAAATCGACATCGGGTCTGCTTTGTCAAAACCCGAGGTTCAGACCAAAACTCATTTACCCATTCACCCCCGAGTCCGATTATGTAATTAGTTTTGGAATCCAACCTCAAATTGAGGTCTAAATCCCTAATTTGCAAAAAAACCCAATTCTTCATAAATCCCTAGTTCTTTGCCATGGAAGAATAAAGATTAGGACTAGAAATTAATGGGTAATATTATAAATGGAAGAAAATGAGTTGAAGTGTGCAAACCTATGAATTGGTGTTGAGTTTTCTCTACAAAATTGCCTCTAGACCGGCTCTAATGGAGAGTTTATGAAAAATGGAAGAAATCCCGTTTTTGGTTTGTTTTTAATCAGTGGCACCAAGTGTTCATCGCATTCGCGTGAAACCTAACGCGTTCGCAAAGAGCAAAGCCTCACTGGCTTACGTGGTCGCGAGAGGCTACACGTGTTCGCGAAGGTTTAGCCTGCCTAACCTTCGCGTTCACGAGACTGGGCTCGAATCGCATTCGCATAGACTAACCTCAAATTCTCAGCCCAGCCTAAATAATGCTATGCATTTGCGAAGAGCATACTACCCAATGCTCCGCCTTTGCGACCATGACCCCGCATTCCCATAGAACCAATTCCTCCCTAGTCCTAGATCCCCTTTGCGATCGCGAGAATGGCTTCGCGATCCTGAAGCACAACATACCAGATGACTGTTGAAGCTCAAAAAACTAGATTTTTCAAACAACAAAAGGTTTGTAGGCTATTCGAAACTCACCCGAGCCCTCGAGGCTCCAAACCAAATATGCACACAAGTCCAAAAACATAATACGAGCTCGGTTGCGCGAGAAAAATTCTTAAATAACTCCTAGAACTACGAATCGGACACCAAACCAAATGAAACTTTAGAATTTCTATTTTAACAACCGAAGGTCTGAATCACGTCAAACTAAATACGTTTCTCACTAAATTTAGCAGACAAGTCATAAATTTAATAATGAACATATACCAAGCTCTGGAACCAAAATCCAGACCCGGTAGCAATAAAGTCAAACCTTGGTCAAATCTTTAAATTCATTAAACCTTTAAACTTTAAATTTTCGACAAAAAGCGATAACTCGAGCTAGGGACCTCCGAATTCGATTTTGGGCATACGCCAGGTCATAAATCATGATATGGACCCATCGGGACCGTCAAAATACGGATCCGGGTCCGTTTACTCAAAATGTTGGTCAACTCAAAGGGATTTCTAAGACATAATTTCACATTTTATCAATTTTTAACATAAAAAACCTTCCGAAAAAAGATACGAACTACACACGCAAATCGAAAAAGGCTAACATTAGATATTTGAGGTTTCGAAATACATAATTAAGGTTTAAAACTGTAGATGACCTATCGGGTCATCACATTTCGACTTCTACATATGAAGAAGCTATAACTTTATTTTTCTTCCTACAATAGTAATATAACTTCCACTATTATTTAAAATAACTTATATTTTTAAAACATTTTTCAATTTAAAAGTTATTAGTAGTAGTAATTAATATCAAAATTTTCAATTACCATTATTTGCTTTTATTACGTTATAAATGAGTTTAATTTTTTTTTATATAAGTGCAATAACATAGAATTAAGAAAGAAAAAAAATATTTAAAAATTGAGGTTGATAATTTAGATGATATTCTGCCAAATTGAATAAGGAAGAAGATGAGAAATGTCTATCCATTAAAATTGGTGGAGCCACTCATTGGACAATTGCTTTATAAGACAGATACACATTCAGTACTTCAGTCAATTCGACAAACATATCCTTTGTTATATACCTATACTTTGTTCTGAAACACAGACATAGAGCACTTGAGAGATTCCTAAGCAAAAGGCCATGTATTTTGATTTTGATCTATTAACCACTGTTACAGTTGCCGCCACCACCGTTTTCTTGATTTGCACTATCAAATTACAGTGGTTCCGCCCTGACAATCACTTGCCGCCGCCGTTCGCCGTCGAGGATGGCGGTTACGACGGAGGCAGATGCTGTGCGGTGTGCCTCAACGACGTGATCGGCGGCGAGAGTTGCCGGAAACTGCCGAAATGCGGCCATATGTTTCACGTTGAGTGTGTGGACGCTTGGCTACAGTGCAGTTGGACGTGCCCACTTTGCAGAAGGCAAGTTACTGATCAGCTTCCTAAGCAGCAAGGAGAAAACACCATTTTCTCTTATCTAATTTTCCGTTGTAAAGACTTTCTGCTTAAGATTTTTAGTCCTTTTACTGAAGAACTTATGATGGTTTTGATCGAGAGCGTAATTTTGCCCCGTCCTTAAATTTATTTTTTCTTTTTTGGGTTTTTACTTTTCAAGGGATCGATCATTTACTAAATTTTCTGCTGTATTTTCCATGCCTAGTTTTCAGAGGTTAACAAGAGTTTTTTTTTGTTGTTTAATCTATGTATCAAATTTAGCATCGTACTTTAACTGTATTTATTGGAGAAATTTATTTTCTTTAATTCGTGAAAAGAAAGATTGTGAAGTTTTGGGCTCTTTTGTTTTTACGTCTTTTTTTCCTCCCTAATGTTTGATTGGCAGAACGAAAGGGAAAGGATGTGAAGTGGAAGAAGTTTCAAATCAGCTTTCCTTCTTTGTTTGAATAGTAGTAGACTTAAAATATTTTTTCCTAATGTTTGGTTTGCCGTTATTGTATTTGTGATAAACAGATGAAATACGTAAACGGCCCATTTATGTTATCCGACAAACACCTTAATTGATCCCTCTATCAATTAAACACTTCAACTATTAAGCGTATCAAACAAATACTTAAATTCAGTAAACCATATATAGGCGTGAATTGCACTTGGCAATGACGCATTAAAATGAATCAATAAAAGGACGGCACGTGTAATCTGTAATAATTAAAACAAAAATAACCATCTGACCCCTTGCCCACACTCGCGCCCCACCTAGCTATCTCAATAAATTAGTCCAAACTTCCGGCGAGTTCTAGTCCGGCAAAAATGGAGTCTCACCAAACTGACCAAGAATTTGAATTGACTGACATCTCCTACACCCAAATACTACACGAGCAAAAGCTCTCTGATCTCGTCAATGCCTATACATGATTGTCAAATTTGTTTGGTGGATATATGAATGCTCATTAACAGAGCAACTACATACACATTAGAGGCGAGCTAAGATAAATGCATCATAGTATCTCCACAAATAAATAAACAATCCAGTAGTAATATTCAACAACAAATTAGGTATAATAAAATTAAATCAACAGTGGCCAAGCACGTGAATGTCAGAGATTTAAAGCATCAAAGCAGCAGCAAATACAGCTACAACAGCAAATGCAGCTATTCAAGGAAGCAGAACTAGGAGAGTTGGTAGGAAAGTCGTCGAGAGCCGTGGCGATGGACGGAGGAGAAGTACCAGAAGAAGGAGAGGATATGGAGTATTGATGGTTGGTGGAGCTGGTGGAGACTGATCGAAGATAAAGTAGTGGTGAAGGAGGTGGACAGAGTTCTTATGATGGCGGCAATAGCAGTGGTGGAGTTAGTAGTGGCAGTTTGATGTTGAAAGAAGACATAAGCACAAAATTTGAGGTACCATTCCTATATTGGCTTGCTATTTGGGCTGCCATGGAAGTTGTTCTTGTCCTCCATCGAAGGTGAAAACTTTGAAGGAGAACTGCCAAAAGAAGGTAAGCAGGGAGAAAAAGGTAAGTGTGGACCACATAAAGTAAAATTAATTTAAAAAAAAAAAACTTGATTTTAAGAGTTTCACGCGCACACTTTGGATGTAGGCGCAAGGAATTCAATTCATGAGGTCGTACTTCAGTCAAGAAGAAAGCGTGTAATTAGTAATGAGATTAGTTAAAGTATGTATTTGATAGTTGAGAAGAGAACCAATGGCCATGCCAATCTTAAAAAATGGGAAGATTAAAAGGCGAAGAAGGTCTAATAAAGTACCAATTTTTGTTTCTTTCCTAATTAGTATTTAGAATAAAAATGTGACAGGCTCCAAATATCCATATTTATACAAACAAATTAAACAACTCTCCTTGTAATCTAGCATGAAGAATAAAGTAAGGGAAGCCATATTAATACTCCCTCCGGTCCACTTAAGTAATTTTTTTATTTTTTTTGTGGTCCACAATATATGATTTTTCATAAGAAATTAACTTTTTCTATTCAAAGTCGCTCTTGAAAAAAGAGTCTAGGAATAGTTTGTTATATTTTTAATAAATAAATTAAGGTTAATATAATTAATTTTATTATTAATTAATATTAAAATATGAATTCCTTAATTTGTAAAAAAGCCAAAGAATTATTTAAAATGGACCGAATGGAGTAACTTTATAGAAATGGTCAGTAGTCCCATGCTTGATAAGAGTATATGGAAGGAAATTATCCTTACCGTCTGCATTAGATAGTGTAGCGATTCTCAGGCTGGAATTGCCAGAAAAATGGAAAACAAGAATTAAAATGAAAATAGAAAATATATAGAGAAAAAAATAACCAAGTGTTCATTCAAAATAACTTGGGAAAAAGCGGATTACACGATATTTTATATTGTTTCAATTTATGTGATTGCGCACAAAGTTGAAGAAAAAAATAAAGACTTTCGAAGCATGTGGTTCTAAAGTAACATTTGTGTGAATGTAAATTTTTGAAACTTATGGTCTTAAATATGTTATAGTATGTATTGGTCTAAATTTGACGACTTGGTAACGATAGATAAACGGGATTGAGGATGGGGTCGACCACAGCGTAATAGCGGGAAGCCGTCTTCGAGAAGACTGTTGTCGAGGACGAGCAACTGAGGTAAAGAAATAACGGCACGATAGGTTCAGAAGTGGACACAAGGAATATTCCTTTGGATATTCCTTATTTTATACTTTTTAGGGTTTCTTGGAAATATCCCTTATAAATAGGAAAAGATAGAGAACAAAAGGGGATCTTCACTTTTTTATAAGAGTACATGATAAAAGGTTGACTAGAAGGAATATACCAAAGTTGTCTTGTTCACTGATTATCTTATTCAAGCACACATTATTTAATCTTTGTTCACAAGATCCAAAGATTCTTTGTCCATCTTCACTTCTCATCCTTCCACATCGCTGACAGGAGAAAGGACCATCCAAATCATATAATAATTGGGTGGTACATTCTTTCTTATTACATTTATTGTCATTATCTACATTTATTGCATGTTTATGTTATAATATCTATTGATAATTACTGAATACAAAACTGCTATTTAATGCTCCTAAACGCCGTTAATCTTGCCAATATCCTACAAAATTTGATCTAGAATTTATTATATTTAACTAAAATCCATCCTTCGTATCATTATTAATTAGTTTAACCAAGAACTCAACACTTTTTGTTCAAATATAGTATTTGTATGGCTTTAAAAGCCTCTCATTAAGACTATAATGGTAAGTTTAGATTAAATTATTTCTAAATACATTAAAAAGATTTTATTCTTTTTGAAATAGGATAAAAAAAATAGTTTCATATAAACTAAAACAACGAGAATATTGTAACAGATTCTAACAACTCAATACGTGCCGATCACAGTTGTGTCCAGCTTTAGGATTAAAAACAAAAAACACAAAAGATTAAAACAACAATAGACAAACTTTGAATACTAACGCATAAAATAGAAATAAACGAAAAGAATTGAAACAACTAGACATGAAGATAACCGACGCAGCACGTTGAGACGGAGTCAAGATTTAAAATTTATGGGTTCGATCTTTTAAATTACTGGATTCTAAACTAATAACTTTTATATATTCAACAATTTTTTTAATACAGAGTTTTAAACCAAAGCTATTAAATTCGACCGAATCCATATGCGATATGCTGGCTCCGCCCCGGCAGCACGTAACGTTACTGTCTTAATTGGTGAAAAAGTTAGAATCGATTCTTTAATTTTTGATTTTGTAGAATTGAAAATCGAATCGAGTCGTCATTTTGCATTTTAGTTTCCAAGAGAGAAAAGAAGTGAAAAAGAAAAAAAAATCCAAAACCAAATCTGCTACCTAACACCGAAAGGAGACTAACGGATAAAATATTTGGGTTGGTTTGGTATGATGGATAAATCAATATAATTTCAGGATAAAAAATATTCCTTGTTTGGTTATTAATTTTGGAATAATTTATGTCAAAACTAAAAATTGTATCAGAATAACTTGTACTTGCCAAAGGGTGAATAGTAATCTCAAGATAAGTTATTCCAGGATAAAACAGTAAAATTGACAATCTCAGAATTAATATACTAAACAGTCAATTAAAAATAATATCAGGATAACTAATTTCAGCATAATTAATCCTAGTATAACTAATCTCAATATAACTAATCTCAACATAACTTGTCTTTGAACCAAACGAACCGTAGCCCTCAGAAGTTGTTTGGTAGGGTATATAAGAATAGTACTAAATAAGGTATAGTAGTTATGCTGTGATTAGTAATGTTGAGATTATTTCTTATCGACTGTTTGTTTGGTTTATTAAAAGTTTTGGTAGTGCTGTTTTGTTTTTATAAATGCTTATCCATGTATTAAAACTCATAGTATTGCTAATACTATTGATTACGCCCAACTATGCCTTATAAAAAGGATTAAGCGGTTGTTGCAAATATAATCCGGTTTACAAGTCCGGAGTCGAATCCCACAGAGAACTAAGGCTTAGCTACAGTTGTTCAATATTGCTAAGAAGACAAGCTCGAACAATTCCTATGTTATAAATATTAAGATTCTTGTATCAAATTAACTAACAAATTAAATTAGCAAAATTGACAACTAAAGATACTAAGGGTTAGATACAAGATTAAGGAGGTCTAGAGTAATGATTTTCCCTATTGTCCGAATCCTTCCCACTACATTTTCTATAAATTCGCCTAAGTATTCTCTACCGATCATGAGCGCTCTGACTGTCGTAACTCTCTTCCGAGTAATTACCATAATTTACTAGACATATTCTCCCAAATTATGCTAGCTGGCATTAAGTATGGCTCACTGGATCACACCCAAGGTTTTGTTATCCCCAATCCCATCTTTAAGCCCTCCGTATTGATCCCTCATATACGTTAGGAGTGATGTTGTTCAACAACTACCTAAATATGCACTCTCTCCCGAGTAATACACACTAAATAGGCACAATTGATTGAGAACTCTTCAACTAACCACACTAGTAATATAGTTGAACAAGTAGAGAAAATACTATAGCAAATCCTTATTAACGTAACAAGAATCCACCAATAGGTTCCATCAAAACCTTAGATAACAAATTAGCTATTCATAATAGTATGCATAATTACAATACTAGAATTCATAACCAATAATGAAAATAGGAATAAAGAAGTGAAAAGCTCATAGAAGAATTCTCCGCCTTACTCCTAGTATGTTCTTGCCTCCTTAGGTCGAATCCCCGGCCTTCTTAGCCTCCTTAGGTCTAAATTATGTTAGAAGTCCTCAAAATACCGTTTTTCATGCATATATACCAAGTAGGGTTGGGCCCAAACAATTATACCTTCTCTTACGCGAAAAAGGACATTTTTCCCGGACAGACGTGCGCGGCCGCGTATCAACCACGGATGGGCCACACATATTGACTAGTGTTTTGCCCCATTCGCGCGGCCAGTGCGCGGTCGCGCAATTGACGCGCACTTTACACCCTGTTCTGTTTGGAATTTGGGAAAATATAAAACATAAAAGTTGTAGCACCTTAAGTTAGCTTTCCAACTATATATTGTGGATCCCAAATGAATTTCTTAGCAAAAAGTTATGTGCATTTTACTAGACAGTACATAATATGCCTACTCGATTCGTCGTTTCGTTGCTCTATCATCTGTTGATCCCCGAACACGATCACAGATTGATTCTTTAAGCTTTTACTCAGACTTCAAAGCTCCAAATCACTTGATTTTATTCCATAACATCTACATAGCTCGAAATCACTCATTCAAGGCATAAAACACACCATTAGTGCAAAACACTAGTGATTAAAGCTCAAACTCAATTAAAGTGAAGTAAATTAGAGTGTAATAAGCGATTAAAATATGTAATTATAGCCTATGATCAACACCGCACACTTAAACCATTGCTCGTCTTCGAGTAATCAAACTGCGCTTTATATAGACACGACGTTTTTAAACAATTCTCCTAACTCATCACACCAAGAATATTTAAAATAGACTAAGCACAAAAGCGTAACATCTTCACCTCGAGATTTGACTCACAAGTACCACACATTATTCACAACTCACCCACTTACTCTAACATAGAGGTCACTGATATTACCTTTCCTTCATGAAGCAAGTGCCCTCACACAACAAAATAGAGTAGTTTTACACAATAAAATTTAAGAACACTTAGGAAGTCAAGATAGAATGAATTCACTCACTCTCAGAATTAACATTCATATGCCACAAAAAATGCATCATAGGCTTG